GAATTCGTGATGGCCTACATTGACAATATCATTGTGTTCTCTGAAAACGAAGAAACACATCAGAAACACGTCCACAAGGTGTTGGCTGCCCTCGAAAAGGCAGGACTATCCGTCAACCCAAAGAAGAGCGAGTTCCACAAGGAACAAGTAGACTTCCTGGGCTATCGCATCTCTCCGGGTAAATCCGCATGGACCCAACCAAGATCAAGGATATCGCTGAATGGCCAGCACCAACCACTGTCACAGGTGTACGAGGATTCCTGGGATTCGTCAACTTCTACCGACGCTTCATTGAGGGATTTGGAGGCATCGCTAAACCATTAAATGACCTGACCAAGAAAGACATTGCCTTCAACTGGACTAAAGAATGCGATGACGCCTTCAATAAGCTCAAGCAAATGATACTGGACGACCCAATCCTCATGCTACCAGACCCTGATAAAGAATTCGAGGTCGAAACCGACGCTTCCGACTGGGCTATGGGTGGACAATTAGGACAACGAGATGATCAGAATTGTCTTCACCCAATCGCATTCTTCTCAAAGGCATTCCGAGGACCAGAGCTCAACTACCCAATTCATGATAAAGAGCTCATGTCCATCATTCATATGGGCCTTCAAGGAATGGCGACCGTGGCTCAGCGGAACCAAGGAATCAGTTAAGGTCTACTCCGATCACAAGAACTTGACATACTTCACTTCGACAAAGGAACTCAACCAGCGACAGACCCGATGGTCAGAATTTCTGTCACAATTCAATTTCAACATTCATTATAGAAAAGGATCCGAGAACGCCAGGGCAGATGCGCTAAGCAGGAGGGAAGATCTGAAGACCAAAGAAGCCACCCTATCAGCAGCTCTGTTCAAGGCCAACAACGATGGTTCCTTGCGACACGAACCCATCGTACAGGATCATGACAATGAATTTGACGAGGACCTAAAGGTCTATGCTATCGCAAGAAGGGAACCCGACGACTGGATTGAGAGGATCATCAACGCACAGCACGAAGTTGATGATGAAGAGATCAAACGACACTTGTCAACTTCAGTCGAACCATGGATGCATAACGGCAAGCTATGGGTACCCTCAGCACTGCAGAAGGAACTAGTGAAAGACATCCACGAGTCGCCAGATGAGGGAGGACACGCTGGCATCACACGCACCATCGCCAGGGTCCAAGAAACGTTCGGATTCGCCAAAATAAAGGATGTCGTGACCGAAGCATCCTAGTCGTAGTCGACAGGTTCACAAAGTACAGCTACTTCCTGCCATTCAGAGAAGACACAGACGCTGAGCAAATGAGCCACATCTTCATACGACACATTGTATCCAACCATGGATGGCCCAAGGAACTTGTGACGGACAGAGACAAGTTATTCTCGTCACGATTTTGGCAGGCATTTATGAACAAGTTGGGAGTCAAACACAAGATGTCGACGGCATACCATGCCAGAACCGATGGGCAAATAGAGAGAATGAACCAGGTCTTGGAAGCCTACCTTCGGGCATATGTCAATTACGAACAAGACAATTGGTCAGAATTGCTGCCAACGGCCCAGATGTCTTACAACAGCTTGAAAACAGAGACAACTAAGGTGACACCATTCTTCGCCAACTTCGGATACGAAATGAGCTCCCGCAGAGGTTGGGACTCGGAATCATTCGTGCCCAGGGCACACATACGCGCCGAGAGACTCACAGAGATGCACCAGACACTACGCGACGAGCTTACATTCGTACGCGACAGAATGAGTCGATATTACGACTGCACTAGATCGACGGCGCCGATCTTCAAGAGGGGAGACAAAGTCTACCTTCTTCGTCGTAATATCAAAACCAAACGACCCAGTGACAAGCTTGACTACAAGAAGCTTGGCCCATTCAAAGTGCTCGAGAAAGTCGGCACCAGCAACTACCGCCTCGAGCTACCCAAGGGCATGCGGCAATGGCCGACATTTCACAGCTCCCTACTCGAACCCGCACCCAAGAACGCCAGGATCGACAATAAGGTAGAGACATGGAACGAAGGCGACGAGTTCATGGCCGAAGGCATAATGGATTCCAAGATCGAAGACGAAAAATCTTCTACTATGTCAAATGGGAAGGTTACGGACACGAAAGCAATACATGGGAACCACCAGAATACCTGCTCAACTTCAAGAAAGAGATTGAAAACTGGCATCGCCAGAACCCTGACCGACCGAAGCCGCCAGCTGCTCCAGAGAACCAGGCGATAATGCCTCCAGCTCCCGCAGCCAGTCAGGGTCCCCAACGTCGACAGAAGCACCGACGCTAGCCGAACTACCCTCGACCTCCCCAGAACTCTCACCAAGATCCTTCTGAAACTCCACCATACCACGATCAAACAGGGTCTTTTGCTTCTTCTGGATATGAAGCTTCTGCTCTCGGGTACGCATGAGACGAGATTGAAGATCATGGATTTCTTTCATTAATCGACCCTCCTCCTCCTCAAGACGCTGAGACTCCTGAAGAGCGGACGAAACTTCCAAAACTATCAGCTTAGCAAAGAACGGAGGGACAAAGAAGGGAACCCACGCCTCTGACCAACATCGACGCCGTCGCAACTCCGCTTTCGACGAATACACTCGCTGCACGAGCTCGACTTGGAAGGATCCATAATGCAGGATCGATTGTGCTGAAAGCAATTGGAACAAGGCATCTCAGGCGACTGGCCAGGAACCTCGATACTGTCAGCCAACGCTTTGACTGTAAAGCTTCGTTTTTGAGAACGACTGGACGGGGCACGACGAGACATGGTGAAAGACGATGAAAGGAAGAACAAGAACTCACCAGACGAAACAGGGTGTCACAGAGTTGTTAAGGAACGATGATCAAGGAAA